AACATTGAATAAAAAGCATAACTAATTACCCGTCAAATCATTGGTTAATAAAATATTAAAAACTTTAAATAATCATAAGGTGTTAAAAATATTAAATGAGTTCAACAAAAATAATGTGAAGTTTAATCGTTTTTGACTTCATTTGGTTTTTCGCCACTTTTTCCTTCGCTTTCGGAATCCTTTTCGAGAATATTCTCATTGTTTTCGACTTCGGGTCCACAACTCATATCAATCACTAATTCTTTGAACGACTCGTCCGCCACTTCTTCATTCCCTTTAGTCTCGCATTCACTCTGTGTTTGCTTTCCATCGCTTTCTTTGTTCTGTAATTCAACCGATGGATCAGCTCTTTCTTCGGTAATATCTTTTTCATTCAAATCGACGCCATTTTTATCTGACATTTTACGAGAAGATTCTTTGCTGTGATTGTCCTCTTTATCATCAGACTTGTCCTCTTCATCTTCCGACTCGGAAATGGTAACAATTTCTGACGTTTGACCAAAACTTAGCCTTTTGGGACGTCTGCATATATTGGACATCTTGGGAGTGACACCCGGCAGAGGCTCACAAATGCTGACCTCATCGTCACTGTCATCCAGTGTCAAGTCTATGGGCTCTATTGGAGTGACGAGTGGTGTCAGTAACGACAGCATAGAATTTGGCCGCACTTTCGGTGTATTGAGAAATGTTTGGCTCAAACCAGGAGTAGATGTCATTTGAATTTCTTGTTTTATGACTTCATTTTGTATTAACTTTTGTCCCGATTTCGCCATCTCTTCATCCGAGTCCGAGAGATTGATATCGAAAATAGTTGGCAACGATTCCCAGTCATAGTAGGAGTCATTCATGTTTACCATTTGTTCAGACTCTTTGTTTTTGGTCACCTTTTTGGTCTTCTTTTTGCTTATTTTAAAGAACTTATTGACCGAAACCTCTTTCGCTGTGTTGTCTTTAATCGGTAGACTCTTGTCCTCCATATCTGCATTGCTCACAATATCTCCTTCACTGCCATCGTCTCCATCGACTGATTCGCAGCTCTCATAGAGGTCTTCGTCATCAATGCCACCAATTCCCGAGTCATTGGCAACACTTGTATTAGACTCCAGAGTGTCGTCAATATAGTTGTGATCGAAGCCGAAGACATCCGTGTAATTCATGTCATACCTAACTTTGAGGTGTTTTTCAAACTTTCTGATCAGTCCTTTGCAGTTCATATTATCGATCGGTTCCCAAGAGTTGTGTTTGGAGTCATAGCCCTCCCATTTCAACAGATACTGAATTTCTCCCTTTACTACCCTTTTGGCCAATACTTTCTCGACTTCGTACTCGCGATCTACGTCTGAGTCCTCATCGCATGAATGGCACGACTCATCCTCTTCCTCCTCCTCTTCAACCAATTGCACCGATTCTTCGTAGTCTTTATTCTTGGAGAGTGGGGGAGAAAATACAAACTTATTTGAGGCCATCGTTATAATACTGATGTGATTGCGATTTGTAATAAAATTAAATAAAACATGTGTTTAGATGTGAGACTCAAACTCTTTTGAGACGACTAATAATTTGAATTTTGTGAAAAACTATTACAACTTTAAGTTATAATGTAAATGTATGAAATATATTCTGACCATTTGTATTAATTCTTGAGTTTAGTTATTATTGGCACTTAGTTTCTTATTTTTCATATTATTAAGCCAAATATGAGTGAATAGTTTATTTTTATCAAATCTAGGAATTTTACAGATTTCTTTGCAAATCATTGCAAATAGATTTTTTAATTTAGTCAGTCTTTTGTAAGTTTTAAAAATGTAAAATTTTTAAATGCATATTAAACCATTAATAGGTCTGTAATAAAGACTTATAATATTTATTTTTAAAAATGTTATCACAAATGTGTAAATAAAATCATTTGATAATTAGAAATAAATAGCTATAAAAGATATTTGACTATTGATTATGTGCTTTATTCGGTCGAGTTAAGCCCATAGTATAGTAAGAATTTAAATTATTTTTTAAAATAGTTTTAAGGCATTCATTTTATAACTCAATTTAAGTTAATATAAAATATTTTAAATTCAATTTTCGTTTATTATAAACTAAAATATAAATTAAAAGATCAGTAATAAGTGGACAAAAAGTATGCCGACTCGGAAAGGAAGACTATCAAAACCGGTGCGACACTATCACCGGCCACGAGCCTATAGGATGGCACCGGCCAGGCGTCACAAAATGGCTGTCCGACCGGACAACGAAGAGGGACGACTACTTGTATCAAATATCGGTCCCAATATTAATCTGGACGCTATTAATGAGGTGTTGGCACTGTTTGGAAATGTGGGCAAAATCCAGATCCACCAAAACGTTGACTTAAGTCTGACGGAAGTCCACCGATATCTTTGGAGACGGTATTCATTGCTATAAATTAGTGTTAAATATATTTAATAATTGATTGTTGTATTGATAGGTCGTATCGTTCGCATAGAGAAACACAAGTTTTCAGCGATTTTATGCAAGTATTGGAAAACTGTTTTGAAAACTATGGGCAAAAAAGATAAAGAGATTAAAGATAAAAATTAAGAAAACTATAAATTCTGTTACAATTAATTATTTGACAATTCTTGATAAGTATATAATACCAAAGATTTAATAACAAAAAATAATTTAATAATTTTGTTAAAATTTAAAGCTTATATAAAATAAAAATTTAGTTTATCGATAAATTTACTAATAAAAATAAAAATAAAAATAAAAATACTTTGTCTTTTTTATAACCTCTAACATACTATTAAAAAAATTATCTATTTAAATATATTTAATTATAATTGTCTATAAATTATAATGACTTGATAATGAAATAATGATTGTAAAGTAAAGTATTGATAATTAGATTTGCATAAGTCACACGACATCAATGTACTGAACTAATGTTAAATTCTTTTATTTAAGTCTACATACAAATGACAGTTATAAGAATTTCTATGCATGATATTGAATTCATATTACTTTATATTATAGAGCGTATACTACAAGTGCTGCTCAACTCATTATCTAACGTACAATATAACTCTAATACCGGCACAAAGTGATGTCTATTGTATGATCAGATCGATTAATTATAGTAATAAAAGTTTCCATAGCTATAGTTATGTTATAAATAGTCTTTTATGATTAGCGATTTTATATAGCATTTGAATTCATTATCGGTTTAAATATTAAGTGAATATCACGTGAAATAGTTATTGGATCGACATGTGCTTAAAGTCTATGCAAATTAATTCTTTAAGTGTCTTATGATTTGAATCCTATTCAATGTAAAGAGTATATAAAGAAGTTTCACAAATGAAAGTTTTATGAATTTTATTAGTATTAGCAAAATGTCTGAAAATTCAGATTCAAAGCACGGGAACTCTTATCATAAGCTTCTGTTGGCTATAA